GAATCTCGCTATAAAAGAAAAGGAAGTTAGGATTTTAATACCACTGTTTTTCTTAAATTTGGAACTGATGATGCTACAACATTTTCTGTAAGGTTATTGGAGGTGACAGCACGGGAAATAAAAAGCATTATCTTTGTATTTTTATGCATTTCTATATATATATATATATATACTATGTGTTGCCGATGTATTCTCAAATATTTTCACATATTTTTACCTGTCTATATATTTTATTCTCTTTGAGAAATACGTGAAGATTATGTTTACAAATACCTAGAAAGACTTGAAAATACATTTGAAAGACAGAAAAGCATAAATATGCTTATATCCATTACTTTCTTAGATAGATAACATGATGATGCGTATAGGTTAAAGTAATTTTTTGTTATAAAACTAAAGTATAGAAACGCGCATAGGTGCTCCACGACAAAAGACATAACAACACAGCTGTCAAAGGATAAGTACAAACCCAAGCAGAAGTACAAATGCAAATACAAGTACAAGTACAAGCGTATTTATTTAAGTACAAGTATTCTAACGAACTTATTAGAGACAAGTACAAGTACAAATACTTTTTTTTCAGGTACAAGTACAAAAGCAAGTATACTTGTGCATAGGCAAGTACATATAGCAGTACTTGCTTTGAAGTATAAGTAAAAGTAAAACCTTCTTTTTCGAGTAAAAGTAAAATACTTTTACTTGCTATACTTGTACTTGTCCGAGCTCTGCTGTCTAGAGCCTATATAGTAGTAAACGGATGACTCGCTCATATGTCGCCCTTTGTTCATGTTCCCATTCACAAACGCGGAAGGGTAATGTAAGAGGCTATCTAAACCAGAATAGTTTTCTTGGTGGAACTGGGGGTTGTTTATGAATAGACATTTTATTGAAAGCAATTATTGCAGACAGTCAAAAAGGATATTGATGTAAAAGTATTTTTCGTATCAAGGTTCTAAACAGTTTCTTCGTCGATAGTGACATGCGCATAATTATTGGTTGTTAGATCTAATTCAGGTGCATCAGTGTTGGGATTGGTTGCGGATAATGAGAACGAGGACGAGGACGAGTATATCACAATGTCACCCGAAGAATTTTCTCTTTCGTTCTTGCTCGTATCTGTCTCTGCTTGAAGTTGTAGTCTCTTTTGATATTTTTGTGCTTTCGGCAGATACTTAGCCATTAACTCGTTATTATTCGCGTTAGTGTGATTTTTTTTCTTTGATTATTTGAGATTCTTCGGTCGAGAAAGACTTAAAGTTGCTTCGTCTGCATTCGAATTGGAAGACATAGAAAGCGTCTGTATAGGATTTACTGGATTATGAGACTCTAGCTCATCGAAGACTGCTTCACTGCCTGTTGAAAGATTATTCTCTTGATTTGTCCTTGGCGTGGAATTCTTGGTCTTTGTGAAATTGTGTTTATTACATGGATATTGATCGGATCGATCAGTGTTGCTAAATCTGGGTGTTTTTCTGTCGTTTGCTGGCTTCTGTTTTTCTGAAAGGCGCAATACTTGCTTCTTTGATATTTCTATCGCATCTTTAAGTACTTCGACATTAGCACTATTGTCATGTATTGATCTACTGACATTAGTCAGTTGTGATATGACTGCTGCAGAAGGATTGTTCTCTGAAGAGTGTTGTGTTTGGGTGACATAAGAACCAGTAGGAGGAACTTGATGCACAAGAACACTAGCTACCGACCCTTGAGTTTTGGTTTTCAGAGAATTCACTTGAACTTCTACATTTTCCTCTTCAAATGTCACTTCTTCGAAGGTGTTCGGGTTTTGATTTTCTGTTTTCATGTGCACAGTATCTACCATTGCACCACATTTCTTGATACCAAAAGCAATAATAGGATTTCCACAATAGCCAGCAGCTTGCAGAGGTACCTGAGTGCAGCCGAGATCCATTTTAGGTCCTGGCGTGGTGGGACCAAACTCAACAAAGTCAAATTTTTCATTCAGTGCCTCTTTAATCACCCATTGAAGCATAACAAAATAGGCTTTCAAAGGTCGAGCCTTTTCATGAGTCAGTCCTTGAATATCGGTCGTGAGGAGATTATTTGGAAATTTGAAAATAACCGAGCTAGCAATGACTTCGTTATTGAACCGAAGAAGAATGACCGAGCGATATGATTCAATCATTGTGTGACCAATCGCTGTAATAAATTGTGCGGATGGGCGTGCTAATGTAGGTGGTTCATCTTTTTCTTGCCGAGCTCGTGCAATATTCTCCCATTGATCGCAAACGATTGCACCCACTTCAAGTCTGCTCAAGTCGTGAATCACTTCGACGATACCACCTTTCTTGAGAAACTGCTGAGGATAAGGTCGCCGTCTGCTTTTTTTTAAAGATTTCATATACTCTTCCAAAGTCTTGCCATGATGCGATCGTAAATCGAGCATATGAGTAGGTCGGAGAGGTAGAGGAAAGAAACCAGCACTATTAATAGCTCTCGCCATCGGTTCAGTACTCAGTGTAGGCAAAAGAAGAACATCGCAATGCAATTTGGAGTTCTGCATTCCGTTCCATTCGAGTACACTTTCAAGTACATGAACTGCACGCGATGCAGCGTCAGCGTGACATGACGTGAAGAAGATACCTGCTCGAAACGGCCAATGGAAACCGAGTAGACCTAACCGAAGGACAAGTGGACGAAAGCAAGGCATACAGTTTTGCGAGCCAAGTGTTCGTTGAAGAATTCCACCCCAAGAGCTTTTGGGAAGAGCAGATACAGTCGTGTCATAGTGGCTAATGAGCGTAAGGAAGACAATAGCTTCCGTATCATCCCACTGATCGATGAGAATTTGAATGCGTCGAGCAGGTCTGGCAATGCGTAAGACAATACCGGTAACATCGTCCAACTGACCTTCCTGATAGGCCATCATCAGTTGTAGAGCAGCATCACCAGTCATTCCGTCTAATGTTTGACTGCATGCATCAATAGCCGTACCCCAATGTTTGATGTAGGCTGGCGATTGTTTACTTAATTGAATGCTTTCAACTGTCAGCCCATTCTTGTCAGAGCGACTCACCTTTCTTAAACAGTGCAAGGACGTGACCATCAACATCAATATGATACATCGTAGAACAGAGAGTGCTGTGTCTGCATTAATTAAAGTCTTAACATTGGATGAATTGATTTTGCCATAAAGCGTTGTATTGTACAACAAAAGAATGATGGTGGATGCTACGACGATCATTATGCCAATGAGACATGTAGCGTTGAAAACGTACCAAATTCCATTTCGCAACTTGTTTAGTCGAATTGCTTTTGCATAAATGAACGTGAGAATAGTACCGAAAATCCCCCAAATGACTGTGTAACTGGCACTCGCTTGACATATGCTATAACACGCTAGTGGCACATGACTGTCAGGTGCAATGACAGGATAGAAAAAATGCACACGATGATTTAAAATCAATGTCACTATAGAAATGGCAACAAGAATCATGGATGAAAAAAAGAGAATAGCACGCGAAAATCTATATTTTGGAGTCCAAGCAAGTATTCGATTCCATATAACACATAGAGCACAACATAACACAATGAGTAGAAGTAGTATAATGATGACGAGCTGGATGCTGCTGCGTAAATTTGTGTCCACCTGAAGAGCACTGAACCAATAAATAAATTCAATAATAAGATAGATGGCAAAGGCAATGAAGCAGATAAGATTAAGTAATAGATGAATATAATTGCATCGTTGAAAGGAGATCATTTTATCTTTTGGTTGTTGTTGCTGTTGTTCTTGTACACGTTCGTAAATGGCCAGAGAGAGACCAAATATTGTATTCAGAATACCAAAAATGAGTAAAATCAGTTCAAATACGAACTGACCCGTTTTGTCATGCGCATATTTGTGTCGTCGAAAACTCACATTGAAATAGATATACAGGATAATTGTAGTTGAACAAGCAATCAAATTGATTACATTGACGACGATGAGTTTTTTTAGTTCACGTTGAACACCACGCTTGAAGGAAAGATCGATATCGCTGTGCATAGAATAATTTAGCATTATCTAGTGGACATATTTTTCAGTGGGAAAGAACACTTACGGTGAGTAGGGTCCTTCTAGATTCTCTTGATTAGGAGCCATATAACAAAGATCTAAATTGTCTGAAAGAAAAAAACATAATAATTTTATACTTTTGTTACTCGTGGTGTCATGATACTGAACTTTCAATTTATTTCAAAGTCTGACAGATGATTTTCACCTCCTATTTATGATCTAGTTTTCGTATTAAGAACGGTTCGCATACCAAGTGACGCGTTCGTTAATAGATAGCTCTCTCCAAAAGTTTACTATTATTGGCTCTATTGTATACGGATTTCGCTTTAGAAACTGTCTTTCTAATATTCAATTGATTCTTTATTATGAAGAATAAATTGACCTACAAAAAGACTTGAACATTTGTCAGGGATAGAAGCAAATTAAAATGCGAAGCACTAACATAAGACTATCATTTCTTTTTCTACAAAAGAAAGACATGAAAAGCATTGCCTCTACGTGTATGCTAGCGTGCTGTAGCATATGAAGCAGAGCCTGAAATGAATCGCAAAATTATCATTCGAAGCAGTTCGATTTCATTTCAACGCAAATAAGGCAGAGTACAAAGTTAGAAAATAGAATGGGCTATGTTTTGAAAGAACTCACTTACCGTAAAGTATAATTATTTTTATGCAAGAAATTTTAGCCATTATGTTACGATGAAAATAAAATTGGCACGCTCACAGTAGGTTCGCGAGATAACCCTCAAACTTGTAAAATGTTCAATTCGTCTAGAGAAACTTGATTCTTTCTGTACATTTCTATGAAGATTATCGTACTATATCTCGCTTTGCCCTCAAAAGTGCGTTTTCTCTCAGTGGTAAATCTAACTCTTCTTTCTCTATGGAAATTCGGTCACTTATGAACAAGAGACAAGGATAGAACGCTTCGCTTTCTTTTCTCATCATATTAGTAACATGCAATTTGAAATTAAAAAAATCAGTTGAAGCTCTACGAAACTTCCTATTATATTATTTTTCATGGATAGAAATCTATATTACACACTGTTGCCTGTGTTGCATTCTACACAATGACTTTCATATAAAAGCGTATCCAGCTATAAGAGGAACTTCTAATCTTACAGCTTCCTCAAAAGACTGAACAAAACTATCTATTAAATATAATTCATCCAACTCAATTCGATTCAGTTTTGAGCTTTGACAGACACAAATATAATTTTTGTCTTTAAAAAAACGTTTTCTCACAGATAATGATTCTCAACTCAAACAAAAGTTCTATACACATCCAATGTAAAAACAATTTAGTGGAATAACCAGATTAAAATCGATTATAATCACAAATAATCAAAAAAATCTTTTTTTCGTCAGTTATTCCTATTGTTTTCGAGTACAATCGACGGAAAGTTCATAAAAAATTGATTATAATCAATGGAAATTTAATAAAATTTATTTGAAATCTTACCATTCATTCAGAAGAAAAATCAATTAAAATCCGTGCTTTTTTACATGATTTTTAATCGATTATAATAGAAAACAATAGAAATAATCGATGAAAATTAGATTTGTTGGATTATTTTTTATTATAATCGATTTTAATAGGATGACTCTTCAAAATGTTTTTTTACATGTGATCAAATGGCAATCTATCAAAAAGAAAATACAGAATATATATCGTCATTTACTCATTGCTAATGACGTCTTTTATCTAATGGTGTGTGTTGGGCTGTTTCTTCACGCTACAATGATTTGAAGACAACAAGTAAACAATTTTTTCAGCGCTTTTAATGCTTGTGTAGGATATAGCGCAAGTATGAATTGAAGAACGACAAAAATAACCTTCGATCGGTGACTGATGTTTCTTTCGTTTCTGTCTAATAATACATGCGACGTACTTAACATAGAAGAACAACATTGAATGCGTATAGTCCTTGCCGCTGTTAAAAAATTGACTTTAGTATAGCAAAATCATTGTGATTGAATGTTACGCTGGTGTAACGAATTTTAATGATGAGATGTTGATTATATATGAGATGTTATATTTTCGTTACGACTGCAGTATTTATTTTATTTGTGATCACAAAGAGAAACTGGAAGAATAGCGTTACCGCTATTCTTAGTGTACACATGATATTAGTTACACTACTACATTCTGTAACTTTCCAGTTCTGTTCCGTTCCAGTTCTGTTCCGTTCCAGTTCTGTTACATGCCAGTTCTGATGTATAATACAATTTACTCGCTTTATATACGTGCACACAAGAGAGAGAAAGAATAGAAAAAGATAAAATAGGCATATGCGCATTACTTAGGTTATTTCTCTAGAGACATAAACAATCACGGTACATAAAAGTAGATGGATAAAATTCAGAAATAAACCAGACATATTGATGAGAGCAATAGGCCATACGACGTCTATGGCATATTGTATAACGCTCATCAGAATGTATTCCTCCTTTCTATACTATAGGATCAGAGGATATTCCAAAGAAATGGAAACACAAATATGTGAACAATAAAAGATGTCCATGCATTATTGGCACACTGTTCATTGTCTCATTTTTCACCATCATACTGATTAGATCAAACGCGGATGAAGCTGAATTTCGCAACTATGTCGCAACCTATTTCTTCAGAAATATATAAAATAATATATAGATTAGGGGTGGCACTTTATTTTATCTCGAGTAAACTGCGAAACTCTGTCATGAAGTACGACTGATTTTTCTACTTTAAATTCTATTTGTAAGGTTTTCGCTTTGAAACACAAGCGTGTGTGTGTATATATATTCGTATCTCTTCATCATACACAATAATGCATAGAGAATTCGATTTTATACGAGATATTGCACAAAATAATGACTATCTATTGAATTTTGTCGAGTGTCAAATAAGACATACACAAAACAGATACATGGAAAAACAAAAGAAAATGGCAACTAATAATATTGATAATAAACTTAGTAAAATAGAGGACTCTAACAAAGATATAAGTTATGATAGAATAATGGTTAATGTTCCATTCGTTGGAAAATCCACACAACAATTCACGAGAGAAACAACTAAACTTATTAGGAAAGTTAAACCTAATACACAAGTCATAGCTATTCCAAGACTACCAAAGGCTGTACGACAATTCTTTAAGAATAAAGATGACATATCAAAGGATCTTCAATCTAACAATCTAATATAATCTATGAAGTCAATTGCACTGATTGTTCAGCTACATACATAGGAAAGAAAGTGAGACAGGCTTGCAGACGTCTGAAAGAACATGGTGCACCTTCAAGTGTACCAATAGCATAAGAAAACCAGGCTCTGAGACGCTCAGCTAGAATAGCTGCTAATAAAAATTTCAAGTCTCTTATGTTGAATCCGAAAGTAGTGATGATGGACACATAGATGATAAGTCTCAAATAAAATCATCAGCTATACAACGTCATATTGCACTAACCAAACATAACATTGATTGGCATAACTGGTCAACATTAGACAGAGATTGTCACTCTTACAGATTATTAGTCAAAGACTCGCTTGCCATTGCTGAAAAGGCTCCTAGCATTAATGCAACAACTAGATCTGTACCACTAATAGTTTTTCCAGAGAGTTGTGCAAACAGACGTAAAGTCAGTAGAAAATAATATTTCGACTTTTTCATTCATATATATAATACGTATACATAAATAATAGCGTTCATATATTTTCTCATGTTGTAAAATGTAAAATTTCTGAACTCTTTTCATGTATCGAAGTTGTCATTTTCCGTACATTGTACTCTCAGTTTGGCTATTTTCAATTTATCGTGAGGGTGTGGGTTGTGCGTGTAGTTCTATTCGTCATACACTCACACCATCACTTACTGGATTTGCAGACTTGTTCGTCGTATCTACTTCAGCTTATGTCATTTGCATTTGCAGTTACGAGATCTCAAAGAAGATTTTCTAGCGAGTGAAGACTTTTGAAATCCTTTCTAATTTATTTTTCAGGTATTGCTCTTGATCAAATGATTGAGTATGTAGTAAATAAGCGTCGACAGCGTAAAGGTAGTATTATTGGTCGGTTAAGTGAAGAGTCAATAAACAATTGGACAGATTCATTTGCATTTCGTGCTATTACTGCGTTTACCTTACATGACATATGTGAACTAGAGACTGATAATAATTCTATGAATTCACATACAGAATGTCTACCAAATAGACAGGATCTAGATGATGATGATTTATTTATGATATTGAAAAATCTTCGTCAAGAAAATCTTTTTACTTTAACTAATGTTGAATTTCGTAAAGTACGATCGGGTCTTGTAATCCATGATGATATCATTTCAAACATTACATCATTGTATGAAGGCGGTGAAAAAGCTTTGACCACATTTATAAATGAGCGACTTCTTAAGAAAGTAGTTCCGGTTGACGCTGCTCTAAAGACAATCAGATTGTTGAGTAAGTAGATAAAAAAGATCTCACACAGCTATCTCATTTTGCAAAACAGAAAAGTAGAAAAGTTGAATAAATCAATATATTGGTAGACAAGAAAAATTCGTATTCAATTTGTATCAGATTTAACTGATTTAATGATTTCTTTTTTTTTCTTTTAGAGCTTGCACAAGCCGATACATATTTACCTCAAAATTCCTCTCAGAAGAAGACTGAATCTTCAAATTCTGCACATGTTAAAGATTTCAACAATTTAGCTAAAATGGCTGACGGCGAAATCAGCAGAATAATGATTATTGCTGAACAACGCAACATCAAAACACTTTCGCAATTATTTGCATCAGTACCATTTTCTCTTTGCGACACAGTCAGTAAATTTATTAAATGAACAAACAAAAGCTAAAGCAATAAATGTTTTGTACAAAATATATCAATCATCGTTTTACCCATCATGTCCAATATCTACAGATAGAAATGCAATCGTCATTAGTGGCAGTTGTCCATCAGAAACAAAATCTCAATCAAATATACAAACTGTACAAGAATATGCCATTCAATTACTCGACAAAAATATTCGAAATCTATTGACGAGGCATGTAAGCTATTTGTCGTTCCATAGTCTATACTTGATGTGTTCAGTTTTCTTTCCAGCATCGTGCCGATGTTGTTTTTGATTCTGCAGAAAGTAAAACAAATAAAATGTTCATTAAAAGATATGAAAATGATGCAAAAAATGTGTTTACCGTTTAAAAGGTGATGATAAATTACAATATTCATTTTCAAATTTTTTTCAAGCAAATCGAGCAACGCTTGCTGCTTGTATGAAAGAATGTTGGATGAGATTAAAATCGATTGATCTTTTGCCTAAGGGCCTGTTTCTAGTGGTTGGTGATTCTGATGAGGAAACAATTAAATTACAAAAAGGATATGCACCGACTACAGATTATACCGTTGAATCAACGCAAACGGAAGCTACTAGACATCTAATATTACATATAAATGCGATTATTCTAGATCAAGAGCAGAAGAGTGTACTCATTGAATCACACGAGTAAGTTCATCAAAAATTCTTTGGTTGGACTAAAAATCTTGGGTTTTTTTATCGGTGTAAAATTAAAAAACGGTATAATTATTAATGTATTTCTTTTTATTTTAGTGCTGATATTGTGCTATTGGCTGTTGCATTCAATTCATCAATTTTCTCGATTATCTCGTGGTTAAATTATTTAATACATATAGACAAGAAAGCAAATAGCGAAAGCTATTAATCTCTTCGCAAAACAACCCAAATTTTAGCATTTGAGCAGGTCCTTCCCTATTGTTGTTGTGAAATGAATAAGATTTTGTAAACTTTCTTTTAATAGTTGTGATGGGGAGCGATTTCCATTTTATTAGCTAATAGAAAAATCAGTTTTGTTGCTTAATTTTCATTTTCATTTCGGTAGCAGCCTTTGCGAAGTGCAATTACGGCATTCATTGTAGTGTATCCAAGACGGTGTAATTTACTTTTCACTCGTTCAGTGCTCAAAAAATGAGTCCATATCTTGTAGTTACATTCTCACTCATCTTGTACCTACTAGTTACACAATAATGCTCTTGGTCCTCTAAATATGGTATCGATACCTTTTCGAGCTTTATTTCGAAATTCTATAGAGATCTAACTAAAAAGTTAGCAAGCGTTAAGCTTATTACAACATTGCTAATGTGTATAGTGTAAAATCAAGATAGTAAGAAGGATCACAATGTGACTTGAAATGTCTTGATTTGCATTGGATTGAGCATGACCATTGTGTCTTTCAAATGAGTTTGTTCTAGAACAAGGTACATAAGCTAGATTATTGATCGACACGAAACTTACGGGTTGTCTCCACATGTGATGATTCATTGTTGTTTGTCATCCAATCGAGTCGATGCAATTGTGACAATGGTAAATTAGCACCGAGTGTCAGTTCGATCAAATCAGTAATTGTGCCGAGGCTTTTGAATAAATCTTGCAGATAGATTTGAACTGGCTGTGAATAGATTTCATCTTCGTTGAGTTCAAAGTAGTGTTCAATTCGAATAAGAAATTGTTTGGGGCCCAATTGATCAAATGTCAACAAATGAACATTGAGTGGCATGCTATCCGACAGAGCAGACCATGTTTGACGATAGAGACTTTCATAGTCTGCATAGGAATTTTGGGGCAAAGCATAAGTCGCAATGGGATTCATGAACAATTGTTGAGCACCTACTCGATGAATGAGAGCACTGTTTTCAGGTGGTTCGAGAATGAGAAAATGTTTGCCACGCACGACAAGACCTGTACCGAACGCTGTTTCATTCAATGGCTCGCCAACGCCTTCATTATCATCGTAGAGTAAACGCCTGTGCACCATGATTTCAATTGAGCCATCATGAATGCTTCCACCACCTTCGGACCGATCTATATAAGAAGTATACTCTTCATTTCACGCTATCAATTATTTTTTACCGACACAAGATACTATTGATTAAGGATATACGTGCGAGATAACTATTTGGAAAGATTCACTAAATGCTATTCTAGAACTCGAATAGAGTTTCTATACGAGAAGAGCTTTCTTCCGATAAGATGTGTAGGTATAAAAGAGAGTAAAGAGGTGTACCTCTATAATATTTCTACTTATCAACATAGTGTGATTTCAAGTCGATTACGATTCATTACAAATTGAACACGAGTAGTATCTTTTCTTTTCTAGGCAAGATCTGATAAGAAAAACAAAAAAGGATTCGTTGCCATTGTTCGTACCTGTAAGTACAGTCAATTGTCGTTGTTCATCTTTGATCCAAATACGACTACTGATTGGATAATAATTGCCACTGATATTTTCATTGACAGTATAATTCCATGTTGGTCGATAGTCAACTTTGCGTTCGAGTACTTCACGCCCATTAGCATCCGTATAATATGTCGATTTACTTTGAATATCAGTATCATAACGTACGATAATTTCTTTGCCGATATAGTCATCTATCGGAATTGGCCCGATAGTCCATTCAAATTCTACCGCCGCTGATCCTTGAAATAGATTCACCTCTTGACTGGCCCAATTATTAAATATGATCAATGCTGATTGAACAGCTTCCGTTTTCGTACACGTTCTAATTGTTAGAATGAAGAAGCTATGATACATTCATTCAATATACCACTCACATGCTGCGCATGGTGCTCACGGGTTGTGGATCCGGCATCAATGGTCGGAAAAAGTAGGCACCGGACGCTTGAAATTCACTGCGGGAATTGTTGCCAGGAAAGCCTAGGCAAACAAATTATCAAAGATAAACATTTTACAATGAAATTTCACCGACCTGTGTACCAGTAGAAGCCCTGTGTAGTAAAAGATGTTGCGATGCCCTTCTCCAAATTGGTGATCTGATGTAGATTGCCTTGATCGTCGAATTCGATGCGAAGATGCTATGAATAGCAATTCAATTCGATCTTAGAGCATAATATAATCTCGTTTTACTTCATTCTCCAGAGTGCACGTTTCATTTTGTGTCATCATCACTTTCTTCTTTTCGATCTTCTCATCGTCTATAATATCAGTTAGTGAACAAAAACGTAAAATTGAAGAATGATTCTACATACGTATCATTTCGAAATAATAAGTGTTAAAACCAAGAGCAGGCAGCGAAGTTTTGAATATGTGCTGGTAATTAGCAGAACTTGTTCGGCCAGGAATGTTTTTCGTGATGTTTGGAATTGGAAGAAACTAAAATAAAATACAATATGTATATACTGAACTCATATATTGTACATTCCTACTTCGGATGGAACAATGTTTCCCGTTGGATCACGAATCGAATATTGCATTATTGCTGGCACATGAGCATAATAAGTAACTGGATGGATTGTCGGATTCCAGAGTGTCAATGTGAACTGTAATGACGAAATACATGGTGCATACATCCAAACATTTCATTTACCCGAATCTGCCCTTCGATGGGAAGACATTCGCTAATGTTTGAATAGTGACAAAGAAATTGAACCAATGGTGGTGCCAATCCACTCTCTTTAGGCAATAATTTAGCATAGGAGCTATTGATCACATCCTTCAAAAAAGGCGTTCGATATCATCTACGAATAGTTCAACATCGTGCTGTAACATACCGCTGCTATATCGATACCTTGAGATAATCGTTGAGCATAATCATCGGCAACATGTTGTTTCTCAGTTCCACTAACTGCATCATGATGTTGAGCAACACCCATTGCTTCGCCTATGATATTTACGATGCTCGATCAAGAAAAAAAGGATATTGTTCCCGTACTCAAATGAAAAATACTGCTGCGTAAATTAATTTCTGAAAGTGCATTGAGTTGACGCGTTGCTTGAAGGATATTGTTTGAATATCTTTCATAACGTTTGAGCGCAGCTCTTGAAGTAAAGTAACCTGTCCAGAACCCATGTGGATTCTGAGCAATAGGAAAAAAATCGTCCGTTTTCGATGGCCAAGTTAGACCAGCCTTATTGAGTGCATACAAATAACACGAGGGTGTTGAATAGAACACATTGACATCGCTACCATTCACTTGCTGAATATACCAATAGAGAAAGTCAATTGCCAGTCAGAAAATGAATACCTGAGCATTGACATATTTGATCAATTTATCCAAATTTTTGAACCACACATTAGCATATTCGTATTGAAAATCACTGCCCATTGTCATTATGATATGATTCGTAGCATAACCACGAGCCTGTAAATATCGAAGTGATAATTACATAGGGTCACTTCACTAGGATATCGAGAAACGAACCTGGTCATGAGCAGCATTGATGAATGCTTGAACTCGTTCAGGAACATTGTAATCATGCAGGCTTGAATCATCCTACAATATGCATGTATAAAGAAATAGGCGAGAGGCAAACGAAATATCAAGATGAAATAAGAGCCAGCCGATGGTGCGTCAGATGTTAAAGAGCTCTTGTATATTATACTCGAGGCGAAAAAAGGAAGAATCCAACTAACCATCACAGGTTGATCATTACAGAATTGATCGAAACAGAATGAGTCTGGAGGTTCGTATACACGTGGCAATACACCTGTAAACAGCCAACTCTCACGGTCTACAAGTATTTTTATGTGTAGAACTTATAGGCTACTGCCATCAAGACTCACTCAAATTGGCACTACCCTTCCAAACCATTTCCATTGTCTTTGTCATAGTACGGTGTTGGTAATCTTGATAGTCAACTCGTCCAAAAAATAGACCATCGAAGCCCATCTTTAAAATGTGAAAATTGAGTATGTACAATTCTTAGCAATGACTAGACCTGTGCAAAGAGTGAAGCAACTTCGCGTGAATGGCCGAACGGATCAATTTGCCAGCCGATTTTCGGTCGAGCGCATTCACCAAATTGATCACGCAAAAATTCGGCTCCTAAACTGTGTTGATCGATGATCGAATTGTAATGTGTTATCCCTTCGTCATTCATACACCAACCACCCGAAATGAATTCAAGGCGACCTAGTTTGAGTTACACATAAAAGAAAACAACCCTGACAACTGCATCAACGCTCTGCATTTTCAAACTCGAGATTTAGAAAAAAGTTTGTACTAACCATCATTCACGAGTTCCTTGACAGTTTCACGCACATCGTCCGACTGTTCATTCCACCAACGCCAGAAAAAAGCCATTTCGACATAGATAAAACGCCGTTCGGGATTTTTCAAGAGTGCTTGAATAACTGAATCGAGAATGTATTGAACGCACGCATGCTGAATATCATTTCGGGCTACATGGATAGAATACAAACGCCAAAATTATAGTTGCTCTTAAGTAGAGAAGGATTCTACTGAATTGCGATCTTGAAATTTGGAACCCCCAAAATGATATTCACAGCATAATGTTTTAATTTCATCTTTACGCCATTTCAAATTAATTTTCAAAGGTTGTAATAGATGCTAACCATCTTAACAATATCAAAAACATCTCCAAATAGAAAAGGATCTTGAACTTGACTTTTGAAAATCTATATGTGCAACTTTAATATTAGGCACTTTCACCTTTAAAGTGAGCTTGGGTTCACTTTGGTGATTTTATAGATCAAGATTGCAGACTCTCATGGTTACCACACACATTTTTCATTTGAACTTGTCATATTTGACAAGCTATTCCGACACTTTCGAATTTATCGGCTTTTTCTATATATGACACTATCATTTTGTGAGCTTGAATCTAAATCCAACTTCAGCAATCCCTCTATTTTCTCTTCGTACCGCACTTTGGAGTATTCTAGTACCGATTTTCGTAATTAGTAAGGTCGACTTCGCAGGATTAGATATAAGTCAAGTATATACTTTGAAAAAGGTTCTCAGGAATTTCTATCAATCATATCGAACCTGTTATCGGAATATGGTTATTTCTCAAAAAAAAAATATCTTGGCCAAAAGAATAGCCTTATTGACTCTTGTTCTTTATTCTGATCAAGCAGAATTTGGGTTGAAAATCCAATCGATCTATGTATTTCTGGTATATCTATCCAAGGACCTACTCACCTCCATAGTAGTACTGATCGACTGTTTTGAGCCAACCGACATCGTCGTGCGTGTGCGGTACTATGTGAACATTGAGTTTGTCTGCTACGCCCACATTGCATGACTACAACAGAGATACTTTAGTACTTGAATAATCAATATACGTTCACTGTTTACATCGTAACCACAGCCATTTGGTGACTTTTGTGATACTCCAAAACACAGTGCAACAATCAAAAGAAGAATTGCACAGTAATTCGAGATATACATTGTTTATTCAAGCAACTATCTAGATCATATGTATAATAGAATTTAGGATATATGGTGGTAACTAGACATGCGCCAAGCCCGAGTTTGGCGCATGTCTAGTGCGAATTATAATCCACAATCTATCTGTAGCAACAGAGAAGTTTGATTGACACAGCTAAAGTTACTGTATGTCTCTTCAAGATGGTCAGATAGAGAGTGAAATATAAGAACAAAATTCTCTACGGCATATCTGTGGTCTTTCAGCAACAGATGATAACAAGTTAGATAATGATCTGGCAACGTCATCATGGGTGTGTTTGGATGTGGGTGGTAGTAAAGAGCATTTCTAGAACCATACTCAACATCCACATCCTCCAAAATTTCTATTGTGTGCACTTCAACAGCCCTGTTAGATTGTGTTTCACAGTGGAAAAACACAGGCAGAAAAAAATGACTGAAAGATAAAGCGTTATCATGATGAAAAACTAACAAAGGAATTATTTGCTAAAGAATATACCCTTGTTAAATACACGACTAAAAGCAGTTCGAAGTTGCTACCATTGAAGTTTATTCGATAGACTGGACAGATTATTATCAGTGTCATGAAACATGCATTATTACTGTGTACATCAAACTGGAGTTTTTCGATTTGATACATTTCTATCACAATATAGTCTTTGTCAGGGTTGCCAAATTCAAATTTCTAAAAGCTGGGTGTGAAGGAGCTGCCATGACCGGTTTCGATCTTGCTTAAGGATCTCATCAGATGGCTTAATCTATTCAAGTTTCAAATAAATAAATTTAAAACTAAATAGAAAAATTAAAATTCAATGTTATAAATAATTTATTAGAGAGAGTGAAATTTCATTGTGGTTTAGAATTTTGCTTTTGTTTACGAGAAAGTTGGAATATTATTGTAGATAGTTTTACTGAATTTTATAGTTTTCTTGGGAGGAAAAAAATTCTGAATTAGTTTTCGATAGAATACTTTGAATTCCCACTTCTGTTTTATTGAATATTCGGAATCAGGTTATAGGTAATAATGACATAAATAGTTTGTTGAATGGAAAGTGTTGATGGATGTAGATGATGGTGATGTTTGTTTCATATTTGATTATTATTTTTTTGATTTTGTTGGTTTAGTTGACGATGCCTGTTCTTTTCGCGGTTTCCATCTAGAATTAATAAATCAGTGTATACTATATAATATTTTAAAGACTAGTTTTTTTTATCGTTGATCATACTTGGTTTAGCTTTGTTTTTTAATATTGCCTGTCTTGGACGTTTTCGAATCAATTCTTTCATTGTGCTTTTCTGATTTCTGTTTCCAACGATCAGCTTCGTTTCGAGTATTGAAGTGTTTGCGAATGTTTCTTGAAAGATACGATGCAGGTCCCGCTTACGTGTATTGAATCGTTTCTCATGTGTTTAATGAATTATAAGTTTATTTTGAAATTCGTTTGGTTTCTTTTTTTCTTGAATGGTAAATTCATGTTTTTTATCCAATTCTTCAATTAAATGTTCATTATCGGTCGTAAGTGTTGCAATTCTCATTTCGACTTGAGATTGTTGTCGACTTGGCTGTCCAGATAATGCAATACGCATTTGTAAGAATTGAGCTTCATTATCAAGAAATGGTAGGAATGATCGAGATGATATGTAGCCAGAAAAAAATTTTCGAAATATCTTGTCGATAAATGAAGAAGGGTAACTATAGCAAAAAATCTATGAGAATAGTAAATGTATCAACAATAAACTTACCCATTGTACAAAAATGTTGATTTGATATATCTTCTCTCATCATTGAATGATTGAAAAGTTGATGAATATTTGATTGCACGTCGAAGACTTGTTTGTACAATGTTTTCGAATACATGTCGAGGATGATCGAAAATAAATGGTACAACATAGGGTTCCGCTGCTGGTTTATGATACACCGAAGTTGATAGCGTGCCATTGATATTTGTAAGTAGAATATCGAGAAATGGAAGACTTTTACTGATTTTATATTCTAATTTAATATTTGGATGCCAAGTATTTGCATTTTCTAATATTTGCTTCAATGCATTTTCCAATTTATTCCATGTCATAAAAACATCATCAATATATCTATTAAAAAGTATTCAAAATAAAATTATTTATTATTATAATTTTACTTCTACTTACCGTCCATAATATTCACCTGTCATATCCTGTCGACGGACAAGTTCTTTTTGCCATTTCCACATGAATATGTTTGCTAATGTCAATGTAAATGATGAACCCATTGCACCACCAAGGACTTGCTGATCAATTTTTTTACCATAAACAAATACGTTCTCTTTCAATACAATTGAAGCTAATAATCTTATTGTTTCTAGAGGAATTCCTTTGACTTTAGTATAACCATGAATATTAAGAAATTCAATAAGAATATTTAAGGCTTCTTCTTGTGGTAACATAGTATATAAATTACGAATATCAAAAGTACAAAATAGTGTCGTTGATTTAAAAAGACCTTTTCTCATATATTGATGAAGTGCTTGAATTAATGAAGAACCATCAATAATGGTTGTATTTTGACATTCCTTATCAAATATAGGTCGGATAATTTCATCTAAATAATTTGATATATTTGTTGTTGGAGCATGAATAGTATTTTCAATTGGTCGAACCGGTATACCATCCTATATTTCAGATAGACATACAAGTCAGATTTAAATTAAATAAATAATCTTAAAAAAAAATTCTATCATACCTTATGAGTTTTAGGATTAAAATATAAATGAGCTAATTGACACTTTATTCGATTAGGCATCATTTTATTGCATTGCCATTGAAAAATAAAATTTTTTGCACGAATTTTATTGAGTAAATGAATAACATTATCTTGAATCTTATTAAATGGATTTTCTTTTAATTCAATAAAAGCATTAGTATCTTGAAATAAATTTTGAGCTTTTTTATCAAATTCTTTTTCTGTACCAATATAAAAATTATAACCTTTATCAGTGACACAAAGAACTAAATGATGTTTTTTAATTTTACGTTGAATCGAAACTACTTTTTTTGCTTGTTTTAATGCTAAGGTTTGATCATTATAAGTTAAAGGTGAAAAATAAGAACGATTTAAATCATGAAGTAGTTGATTTGAATATTGTTTAAGAATGGTTGCTGTCATTGGAACAAAATAATGCTCATTTAGATGATGGCCAACTTTATCATAGATACTTTTATGATCTTTTTGAATTGCAATTTCTTGTTGATGTCGAGGACGAATAGCACTTTGATTTATTCGTATACAAGATGGACCTAAAACAATACAAAGAAATCGAACAAAATGAAATTATAAGTAATTATTAAAAATAAAATAAAATTTACCAAATGAAAGATAATTCCATTCATATCGATTAAATACATTGGTAAGTAGATCAATATATGGTTCAGGCCAAACACCGATAGTATTTTTAGCAGATGATGAACGTCGACGATTTTTTATTAAGATTCCTCGTAATGATCGTATTTTCATAGAAACTTGTCGTTTTAATTTATTTGTTTGATAATTCATATGTTGTTGTATTTGTTGGTAAACACATGAACCATTAATATTGATATTGTTAAGTAAATGTGATTCCAATTGTAAAAATTCATTTTCATATTGTTGATCATATTCTTGTAATTGAACTTCACATGAATTAAGAAACACATTTAAACATATACGTTTTGCTTCTTGAATAGTTTTGTAACGTTTATTTCTAACTTCAATCATCTTTTAATCATTATTCAATGGTGAATAAATCATCGGTGCAATAAATTCTTCTAGTTGATCGAAATTTTTTGGTAAAAAATTACATAAAACTCGCATTTCTAACATTAAAAGATCTTCGTAGATTGTTGACTGTTTTTCTCGTATACTCATCAATCGGTTGATATATTGATCCTAAAAATGAAATTTTGAATAAGAAGAAAATGATTGATTCTATTAAAAACTAGATAAACATACTTGATCTATGCTGTTAAGACGGTATGTAGAGATGGTTTGAAATAATTCATTTTCATGAAAATTATCTATAAATTTTTGTAATTGTTTATTATTTCTCATTGATAAATATTTTCGTTGACAATCAACAAATTCTTTAAGATAATGGTCAAGTTGATCCAAAGATAATGTTGTTAATGGATAAGATTGAATTTGATTATTCAGTTGAATAAGACATGTTTCTATTTCTTTCTTGATAGTATTAATATGATTGTCCAAATATTGTCGACATAACTGAAAATCATTTGTCTTTGTCATGGCATACAATTGATTCTTTTATTATAATGAAAAATTATTCTTAAAAGTGACATCGAAAAAAGAAACTTACTGGCCAACGATGTTGTTGTATCCCAATATCTAAATAGGATTGCCATAATTGTTGATGAACTTGTAAATAATAGTGTTTATCTAATAGATCAAGTCGATGACAGATAAATATTTGTTCTTCTTTTTTCTTGAAATTATAATTTATTATGTTAGTCAACATTTGAATAAGTATCATTGGTGAATGTTTCAAATATATTGGTTGTCTAGAATAAAAAAAAATATTTTGTTAACTATAATTTTATTAAACTTCAATATAAAGATACTGACCGGTAATATTTATAAGCAGTATTGTTCATGATAGTCGTCGTCGTTGGAATATTTAATTTAATTCTTCGTTTCATCTTCTT